CTGAAGACCTTCCAGCGATACTATTAGACAAATAGGCAATCCCATTCTTAGACGATTTCTCAGGTCTAGTAACTCTTGATAGTCGCAACTGCGCGGATGAATCAGTGGTAGCCGTATTGCACACCTTGGAGGATACAGGCAGGTAACAGTACTAGAACTTTGTCGAGAATGTGCTTGATATGCGCAGCCACGCCATATTTGACCCAATCAAGAGGAATTACCTAGCACTATTCAGTAAACCTAAACGTAAGGTATAACATCTAAGCAGGGGAAGAAGATCAAAGTGCTTCAAAACAAAGTGGCACTCTTTGGCCAGCTGTACATATCTATGCACAACCGGGATGGTGACTTGGCAGAGTCCTTTACACATGAGATACAGTCCTTCCCTCCTTCCCTCTCAGATTTTAACAAGCTTCATTTGCCAAGCACGAAGCCGGACCTCATGAAATGTCTTGAGCAACCTGGTCAATCAGAGCCACTTTATACCTATGACTGCAAAGTCCTGGATGGTGCCGTCATCGCACTTGTCTGCCTAATACCAGCGTCAGCACCTTCCATGAGTATGCAGACAGGGTATTCATCCCTAATCTGGAGAAGCAGCAGCATGATGTCTCGAAGTTGGATGTTGTGTGGGACACAAACATCCCAGATAGTTTGAAAAAATCTACCTGGGAAAAGAGAGGCAAGGATGTGCGCAGGAAAGAGTCGGGTGAGATCAAACTACTAGGCAATTGGATGGACTTTCCCAGTGACCCACTCAACAAAAAAGAGCTGTTTGCCTTTTTGACTTCCAAGATTGAATATTTCAACTTTCCGCCAGCCAAAGCTGTGTATGTCACATCCGGGAAATCTGTGGCATCCATTGGTACTAGCATCCCCATGCAAAACTGCAATCATGAGGAGGCGGACACCAGAGTTGTGGTTCATGAAAACGGGGGAAAAACTATCAACATGCGTACTGTGGACACAGATTTTGTAGTAATCTTTGCTGGCACATCCCATAAACTGATTTGAACTCGACCTTTGGTTAACATCTGGATGGACTTTGGCATTGGGCAAGAAATACAGGTTTTACCACATCAACGCCATCTACTCAAGCCTAGAGCAGCAACAACCACGAGCATTACCCATGTTCCACGCATTTTCAGATTGTGACACAACCTTCTGATTTCAATGGCAAGGGCAAGAAGTCAGTTTGACAGCTAGGACCGGCAGGCCTATAGAGATGTCACACAAACATTTGTCTCTCTAGCCAATCATCCTTTCCAGATCCTGGAACGCAATGACGACTCTCTTCTAAAGCTCGAGAAACTGACTGTTATCCTGTATGACAACACCAGTTCTTTGCGCTCTGTCAACGAGACAAGAAGGAAACTCTTCTGCTATAAGAATCGAGCAATGGACAAACTGCCACCCACCAAGGATGCACGGTGCTAGTTCAGAATCATATCCAGACTTTGACCCGTAACTCCGGCGTGGATATACCTTACTAAAACATACCAAAAATCAACTAAATCTTCATCAGTTGTTCAACTAATGGTCATGATTTTAAAGTCGTATGTTTCTTACCTATTTCGTGTCAATTTTCTTTTCTTTTTTGGAGTATTTTTTCCTAAAAACGAAGACTTTATAATATACTTTCTTACAGGTTTCACGGCAAACCGCCGCGCAATACAATTGCATACCGTATAGGACCGACGGTGGGTTGCAGGCGCGTGCGCGTACGTGAAGTTAGCGACTGTGATCACAGATCCTCATTACATTCATGTAAGTAATTCACATTATGATAATGATCATCATTATTAAGGTAACATCAAGCATACTTAGAAAATTGAGAAAACTGCAATCCATTTCAGCCACATGGAATTGTCTAATCTCCGTGGTGTGAGATAGTCAGGAAAATTTAGATCGATTATTCACTTATTGGGTGATAACATTGAACTTCAGACTCGGACCAGAAAAGCACATGAACGGATCCGGGGAGGTGGGGGTCAACCCTCCCCCACCCCCCATGGATTATTATCTGTATTGCTTGAGTCGGTACGGTCGATCACACCGGGACCTCACCGTTGCCGTCGGGTCCCGGTTTCGTTTTTTGAGAACCGACGCTCCGAAAAAATGAAATATGTAAGAAATTGCAGTTTTGCACACCACTAAAATCAACCCAGCTTAAAACTTAAGTATTTAATTGTTACCAATCATATTCTAGCTCATCCTGAATCAATCCGAACTGCTGATACAAATAGTGCATGGTTGCAAAGCAGTTCGCCCCACGGGGTTGTTGTTGCCAGCTAGCTGCTAGCTAGCTACTGTACTGGCCGGGTCTCTCGGCAGGATTAATAAATCAGGTTGAAAGAAACATTAATGTTTGAATAATAAAACGGCTTTCTAAAAAGTGCTTCTTTACAACATACCGATCGAATAATTTTTAAAAGACAAAATAGATATTTTTCTTTGATTTTGAAGACCGCATGCTTCTTTTAAAAGCTGAAAATTACTTGGTAATCACAAGAAGTTTCGATACGGATAGCTGTTGCAAGGCAAGTTCAGACTAGTTTCGGGAAAATGCGCAGTGCACCTCGTTAGCAGTAATGCGTGCCAGAATGAACCCAAACAAAGACGTGATCGTAACGAGAAAAAAATCATTAAAAACTACGAGAGCACAATTGGAAAGACAACTACTCAAAATTATCGTAAGCAGAAACATAACTTGGAGGAAGAATACAATAGTTGTCCAAGAAAAGCGACATAAATAGTGATATTTAAGGAGTTACTATAGGTACAATCATTATCGGAAGGGCCAAGCTGCTGCGATATCCGAATTACAAGTGTTTAAATTGAACACGAGGCTAGAAACCAAATAAGGCCCTCTACGGTAAAAAGCAGTATAACAAAGGATTCGAGTATTTTGCAGCAGCTAGGCTCCTTGCGATAAAAATGTACCCAGTTACTCCACGATTATCACAATTTCTGTGGCATTTCTTGGGCGATTATTGAATTCTTAGTCCAAGATATGTAATTGATTATGGTAATTTTGAGCAGTAGTTGTCTTTCCAATTGTGCTCTCGTAGTTTTTAATGATTTTTTTTCGTTACGATCACGTCTTTGTTTGGGTTCGTTCTAGCACGCATTACAGCTAACGAGGCGCACTGCGCATTTTTCCGAGACTAGTCTGAACTCGCCTTGCAACAGCTATCCGTATCGACACTTTTTGTGATTACCAAGTAATTTTCAGCTTTTAAAAAAAAGCATGCGATGTTTAAAATAAGAGATAATTTTTTTTTTTGTCTTTAAAATATTATATGATCTTTATATTGTATAGAAGAATTTTTTAGAAAGCCGTTTTTATTATTCTAACATTCATATTTTTTGACCAGATTTATTCAACCTGCGTAAATCAAAATGGCGGCTCGAATGTTGGCCTTCTATTTCTGCCCCAGTTTTTTAATTTTAGAGGCACGATAATGGCGCTAAACATCGCCAATCATGGATGAAAATAATGTCAAATGGAAGAAAACACCGATCTGAGCCGAGGTGCATGTGTTGATTTATGTGATTGATAAAAAAGGTCCCTTTTAAGAGACATACTGATGATATGCGCTTTTTATAGAGGCAAGTGACAAATCCTGCGAGCTGATTTCGGGACACCGGGTCCCGATCGGTGCAACGCCGTCGGGACCCGGTTTATGAAAATCCCGACATGACTCAGGCCTAATTAATTTACTGTCTGGTTATGTGGTGAACGTTTCGAATAGGTGACTGGCTAGAAATCATACTGTGCATATAATTTTTTTAAATATTGTTTGTATTGTGTGTGTGAACAAATCTGATGGGTCTGAACCCCCCCCCTTTCTTCGAAAATTCAGAAATCCGCCCCTGAAGAGGGTTGATTTTTGTTGGAAGTTGAATAACGACGGTATTTGAAATATTTTTAAAAATGTTATGGTACTAATATATAGTCTAATTAGGGCTACCTAAAAGTCAAAAATTACGCAACCACTCCGAGCTTCTTATGACTCCCTGGACGTTAGAAGAGTAATATTTTGTCAAATATGTAAACCATCTTGAAATTTTGTGTTTTACTTTTTTTTAAACGCCGGAGGGCTCCTATATAGGCTAATTTTAATTAATAGGTCATACCAAAATATGGTGCTTTTATCCACCGAGTAAGGGTAATTTCATTAAGCCACCTGACTTCATGAAGTCGGGTCCAAGCAACAAATTTTGTCAATATGAAGTCGTATGTCTGCATCTCATGATAGGCCTGTCATTATATTCTGTAATGAACATAGATTGCTTCCCATATAAATTTTGTCCATACGATTTTGAGGGGAAATGCCCCCACTCTTTAAGGGGCGTCTCATTTAACCAATCCCTTGTGATCTTTCTCGTGTTTGTAATGTCCAATCATACTTTCAACCAACTAAATGTTGGGCGTGAGGTAGCTTTTGGGAGCTCTGACATATACGGCGAGGTCAAAAACTTTTTGGGGAATGAACTTTATGGTCTAGGTAACTTGTCTCAGATTCTGAAACAAAATTCTGGATTTAGCTCATGCTGCAATGATAATTATAAACCTTTAGGTCAGTCAGGAACCCCGTGAATTTTACAAGCCAATCGCCTGTCTGATTATCAAGATATTATGATTGGAATTACAAATTTTGAAAACCGTAACTCGAAGATTTTTACTTTTTTGAGACACTTCTTGATCATTTTGAAGCGCATTTTTTTTTAGGACTTCACTAATATTACACCATATCACACACACTGATAACACGTAGGGCCGTGTATCTCAGATTTTACATTGTAAAACGATCCCTTTAAGTCGGTCAAATCGTATGGATAATATAGGTTTTTTTTAGGAGAGTCTCCAAAATTAGTCAGTGCTTATCCAACAATCTATAGTTGAAGGATTGATCAGAATCATCGATGCGAAAGTTACTTGTTTTTCTTTTAATTTCTTGTTTTTCTTTCATTCTTAAAAAAAAAAAATCTGACAGATTATTCAGCAACTTATCTTCCGGAAGGCGAATCACATTTCATCTCCTTACCAGACACCTCTGAAATACGGTTGTATGAAGCAACCTTGCTACAAACAAACGCCTCGAATGGATTTCGAGTTGTGTTTCAAAATGTGCGACTCTCTGATGATAGTATAGTCCAAATAGGAACAGGTAACGACCCATCTGATATACAGTCTGTTATCACAACTATCCATGGATATACACACTACGCTCCTGATCATGTTTATGTAGATAACAATGAGATGTGGTTTGCCGCCATAGGACCAGGGCAAGACAGTTATTTCCGAATGGGTGTTGGTATTGCTGCCATTGATTTGCTGAGTGAGTATAATTGCATCAATCGGATTATTACTGTTCAATTCCTTGTGGATTTTTTCCACTAATAAAATTACTCGAGGTAACAGAAGTTACATATAATGGCTTTACTGTTTAATAGACAGTGACACCGTTAGATATAAAACAGGACGTGGGAAGGCTGCCCGATACAGAAGTACATATCCCACCAACTTTAACAAACATTTTCCAACACGATTAAGAAGAGCGTATTCATCGATCTAGGTTGAAAACTACATGTACAGTTCAAGATCTGCCGACATTAATCTCTAATAAATGAGTATCCCACCTCTCGCCAATACCAACAGCCTGTAGCGTAATTATTAAGTCGGGCTCCCTTTCATTAACACGTAATAATAGTATTAACACAAAAGAGCATACATGTATGCAATGGTCTATGTGTCAGATCAATTGTAACTGAAAATGCATCAGTTTATCTTAATTGTCATTATACAGAAGCAGAGATTAGGGTTATTAATATTAAAAGATTATGTTTATTATCAGAAGTAGGTAAATACTCCTAAAACACACATCGTCCTTTTTCTGTTTCAGATTTCTTTCCTTGTTTGGGATCGATCATGAACGTGTCAGTAACGTTAGTTTGCGATGGATATTACGACTGTGACAATTATGAGGATGAATCATCATGTAGTAAGTAACAGAATACCTCCTATGTTTTGATACTGAAATTCATTCTGACTGTATCCCCGTGTTCTGACGCATTATGTTTAGCTGCCTACTGTATACATGATATAGAACACAACTTAGGCAAATTTGCAGAAATCCCAATTAGCATATCCCCTAATTAGTTATACTTGTCACAATGTGACTGGGATTTCTTTTTTAGACAGAGAATGTAATGGACAGGTGTTAGATGAATAGATGTTGTTGGTAGCAATTTACTAGGTCAACTAACTTGGATTTACTAGGTCAACTAACTTGGGTCTCTAGTAGAGCAGGTGTCTGTCTTTGTCTGTGTGTGGGGAAAGGATGAGGAGAATGTTAATAGGAAAGTTTTGTATAGAGGATTCAGTAAAAGGAATTTGGATGGACAGTTTTGGCATGAGAGGAATACAAAGAATGTTAAAGAGGTTACTATTGAGAGAGCCAACGTGGATTAGAGATTTAGGGTAGTTTAATCAGATTGCACATGAGATCTCGAGAGGAGCAGACCTTTCAGAATTTGGTCTGATTTTGGGAGTAAATGAGGGGTGTTGGCCACGAAGGTAAATGTTACAGCCACAGGCTATAAGCATGCTGTTGCTGGCATAGACTTTCCCTATACTATGGGACCAGGCAAGAACCAGGCAGCACAGGCCGACGTGGTAGAAGCCTCATCAGCCCTCGCCTCAACTTGAATCATCATTTGAACATCTGAACTGTAAGTTACAGAAATAAATGTATTACCTTATTTGTAATTATCTGGAAGGAAGGTTAATTTCATACATTTCATAAAGAGAAAGATATTTTCTATGTACTACGAGATAATGGATTTTTGTGTTTTATCTTGCTTGTTGAATAAGGAAGACTTAACCTTGATTATTTTGTTTGCTTAGAATTATGAGGTTTAAGAAATTGTATTGCACTGAAAAGTTATATATGTATAACTATATGTAAAGACATAGGTGTTATTCTATAATTTCTAGGTGAAAGATACCGTACATGGTCATTTATAAATGTCGCCTATTTTAGTGGTTTATGTCAGTGAAGCCAAGCTCTAGAGATTGTAAATGATTGTTGTAAATTGTTAGGATTTACATCGCTATAGCTATCGTGTTTATTTTTGTAGATGGTTGGCTATTTGGTTTCCATTTAATTCTTTTAGGGACAAGCTGGGCTCGTAGCCATAACCCTAGGCACCATCAGTGAATGGACATGTGTTCGTAGTCGACACGCTCAGGCAACCTACTCGCGTCAAGTCGTTGAGTCAACACCCAGTGCTGTCGTACACCGGTCAGGCTTAGCAGGTCATGCATCATATCGCACCGGGTTACAACATACACCAGAGTATTTCGTTCCGCCTATTCAGAAACAGGAAGAGGTGGTATTTAAGAACTCTAAATCGGGACTCTCTAACCCACAACAGTATACTTTTTATATAAAGACCGGGCTAGAGACGGTGGGTGATTAACTATGTTATACCTCGAAGGATGACCTGGTCATCAGGTAATCTATTTTCCTTTGGAAATATGGAGAATTATATTGTGATATAATTGAGTACCGATAAGACGACATAAACAGTGATAGGATATACTCCTATCTAAGTTCACAGTGATTCTGAAACATTTTATTTTTGTCAACTGTTTGCATGTTTAATTATATTGAGCCGATGGCTCTTAAATAAACTGTTTGTACCCTATATTCTTACTCTTGAAATTGCTTGATTTTCTTGTGATACATACTCATTTCATCAGAACCTAATTTATCGTCAGACCATAATAATTTTCAGTATTTAAATCTGACAATACTAGGGGTCGGTTTCATAAAACCTGTTTTTTAATTTGATTTGATTTATTTATTTCTGTTTGATTTTCTTTTTCTTTTGCATTTTTACAAATATATAACAAACAAACATTGCAAATTTACACATGACAAAAGACGAGTATGTAGAATAAAGTAAGGCTGGCTGTAACTAATCGAAAGCATCAAACAGGAGGGTTGATAAAGTAAGCAAAGCTTGATAGTATGACTTCCCTTAAAGGATACATAATAATACAAATATGGAGGAAAAAATATTTGTAAAAGGGGAAAACGACAGAAAAAAAGAAGAAACAAAGAAAGAGGGGATGCACATCAAGATTCACAGATGTATGTGGTAGTTGGATTTCAATTTGATATATAAAGATAAATAAGAAGACGCACATTTGAATACTGAGTGGCCAACTTTGGATATAATAGAATGATACCCCATTCACAGTGGTTTTGAAATTTGTAGCGGCGTTGTAGCGGAGCGGCGACACCGCCATAACACCGCTACAAATGCATTCACAGTAGAAAAGTTATCCCGCTGCAGCAGCGGGATAAATATCATGTACCCATTCACGCTGCAGCGGGTGATTTTTATTACCTCCGTAACAAACACGTGTATGCATGGCTCATGACCCGCGAGTGACCCCGATATGACCGGAAATACTTCAGCGCGGGGTTCTCGATTGCTTGAAATTGCGCGCGCTAGCTGTACTTTACACACTCGATCATATTACTTTTTAAAAAACTAGCATTTTTAATTGCTTCCAGTCAGAATATTTTAATTTTTTGAAGTGTGAAATATTTTTATTTGGATAATTATAATATCTACATAATAATAAAATCAATTTGAATCCACTGGTTACTTTATTTCTATTTCACTTTATGTTCCCCATTGCTGGAGAAAAGAGGTCAGTGATAGGTAAGTAAACAAATCACACGTGTTTGTCGCGGTGTTATAGCGGAGAGCCTTCACACTGAGTAAACACCGCGACAGCAGCGGGACTGTCCCGCTGCTGTAGCTAGGCGAACCTAGCGATAGTTTGTCGCGGCGTTATCGCGAGGCGGTGTTATCCCGCGATAGTTTATAACGGGTCCGAGCCTTCACACTGAAGACAACACCGCGACAGCAGCGGGACAGTCCCGCTGCTGTCGCGGTGTTTGAGGCCACTGTGAATGGGGTATGAGAAGACTCGCGAGGTTCGGACAATATGAATGTGAATGTGAGATCAGCGAGCTGGTTTAAAAACCTGGGCCTGCGAGTCGGAGCCTTGAAATGTTTGTATACAAAAGAGTGTTTATAATACCCCATTCACAGTGGTTTTGAAATTTGTAGCGGCGTTGTAGCGGAGCGGCGACACCGCCATAACACCGCTACAAATGCATTCACAGTAGAAAAGTTATCCCGCTGCAGCAGCGGGATAAATATCATGTACCCATTCACGCTGCAGCGGGTGATTTTTATTACCTCCGTAACAAACACGGGTATGCATGGCTCATGACCCGCGAGTGACCCCGATATGACCGGAAATACTTCAGCGCGGGGTTTTCGATGGCTTGAAATTGCGCGCGCTAGCTGTACTTTACACACTTTTCTTTACTTTTTAAAAAACTAGCATTTTTATTGCTTCCAGTCAGAATATTTTAATTTTTTGAAGTGTGAAATATTTTTATTTGGATAATTATAATATCTACATAATAATAAAATCAATTTGAATCCACTGGTTACTTTATTTCTATTTCACTTTATGTTCCCCATTGCTGGAGAAAAGAGGTCAGTGATAGGTAAGTAAACAAATCACACGTGTTTGTCTCGGTGTTATAGCGGAGAGCCTTCACACTGAGTAAACACCGCGACAGCAGCGGGACTGTCCCGCTGCTGTAGCTAGGCGAACCTAGCGATAGTTTGTCGCGGCGTTATCGCGAGGCGGTGTTATCCCGCGATAGTTTATAACGGGTCCGAGCCTTCACACTGAAGACAACACCGCGACAGCAGCGGGACAGTCCCGCTGCTGTCGCGGTGTTTGAGGCCACTGTGAATGGGGTATTAGTCTGTACCCCAAGTAGGCCACTCTTTATTCATACGTGTATTCATACCAGGTCATGGATGGTTATAATCAACGTTTCAATGAATGGAGGCAAAAAAGTAAGAGTACAGAAAATTATCGAGTTTTGTAACGAAACAAGGAGAACTTATTTTGATGGTGGATTTAAAGATAATGAGCAATAAGAAACTGTTTCACCGCTCTTTTAAAAGATAGCATTGTATCCATCGTTTTTATTTCAGGGGGTAGTGCATGCCAGGTATCAGGTTCAGAATGTCTAATTGAGTTTTGAGCTAAGGCTGTTTTGGCGTTAAATAGGTGATATTCATTGGAATGCCTGGTTGGGTAGGAATGAAAATGAAAATTATGTTGGAATAAAATGACTAGTGATGGGGGTAGAATGCCGGATTTAAGCCGAAACATGAACAGAGATTTTGCATGTAGTGTATATCACTTACTTTTTAGAGTTTTTAATGTGGCAAATAAAGGGTCAGTGTGGTCGCGATAACCTGCATCGGTACAAACTCGAATTGCTTTTTTCTGTAACATTAATTTACGATTAGTATTGCACTTATGAGTAGCCCATATGATATTGCAGTAAGAAATATATGATAAAACCAGTGTATTATATAGCATATTAAGCACATGTTTTGGCAACAAATATTTTAGCTTAAACAGTATACCATTATTGCGAGAAATATGGGTAGTTCACATGATCATTCCAGTTACATTTGTCATTCATATATACACCTAAGAATTTCGTTCATGACTTTTTTCTATCGGAACATTGTCGACAAGCAGCTCAAAATTATAAATATTGTGATTTCTTGAGTTTCTAAAGTGAATAAAATTGGTCTTCTTTAGGTTTAATGATAATATGTTGCTTTTTAACCATTTCGATAACTTAGGTAGTTCAATGTTAGAGAATTTTAGAGAAACTTGGTGATATGGATTTTGGTCGATGGTTCGACATAGAAGAGGGGTAATCTTTTTGTGTACGACTTTTTTTTATTAAGCAGTTCTTTAATGACATTCCATGTAGATGATATATTACATTCAGCATTTTTTAATTTGTTTGAAAATATATATTTTTTTGGATGGCCTTATGATACTGGTTAGCTCACTTGTGAAGGGGTAAAC